TACCTCCTTTTCCAGATACTGGTTCAAGATATCTGTCTCATTCAAGAGAGTTACACTGCACTTCCCCCTAAAACAGGCCAGAAAGTACCAAATGAGCAACACATATCCTCTACCTACCATCCTCAACACACCACCTGCTCCTCTCCGTCCTCTAAATAAGGGTGCATACAGAGGCCACAGGGACCCAGATCCTCCCATACCTTATGTGGGTGGCTGGTAACGACTCAAACTGCCGAGACAGAAAAAGCTCTCGGTGTTTCAGTTGATGCCTCTGCTGCTCTGAGACCCCTGGCTGCTTTGATTCCTCCTCAAACTCCCCTAGAATATTAAAGAGGAAGAAACATGTTTAGAAGCAAGGTACTTTGAGGGGCTACCTAGTTCAGGTAAAGGACATCCTCACTTTCCTTAGGCATCTCACCCTTACCCTACCAGCTTCCCGTTTGGCCTCTTATCTCACTGTGGATGCTCAGTCCTCTCTAATTCCAGTAAGGGGAGAACTGTATAAGGATGAGAACTGTATAGGAATGCACCCCAAACCTAGCTGTCAATGCTGACACCCCTCCTAAAGCACAAATACAGCCATAATACTTTATGTCACATTTAGCTCTTTCTTGATGAACCAGCCTGATGTCCTAGAATCCAGTTAAAATATAAGAACAGCACACAGGATTTATCAGCTCCTCTTCATGCTTCAGGGCTCTTTGATGCGCCTGAAATACAGGCAACCGACTTCTCTTTCTACTTGGTTAATAATAGTCTGTGGGGCTTTCAAGAAAAGTACCTCTGAAACCAGTGCCAACACCTTCCTCCTCAAGAGGCAGCAGCTTGCACTGAAATCTTGAACAGTTAACCTGGCTAAGTGCCAAACAAAGTGGGCGGGGATAGAAACTTAAGCACTTGTTCATTGGTGCATTGTTCCCCTGAAGAACTGGGTGTAAGACAGCAAGAGGGGGGGAGGTCCTGTGTCTGTGTAGTAGGCTCCACCTCTCCCCAGTGCTCTAGGAAATCCAAGGGTAGAACAAGGAGGACCACACCCCTACCCCTTCTAATTGGACAAAGCCAAGGTCAGCCCCTGCCAGATGGAGCTGGAAACCCCAAAGGGCCAAGAAACTGGGTAGGCCCAGCTCATTAACCCTTTCGAGGCTATGGCCTGAAAAAAACAAAAATTTAGGAAAGAGGAGGAAAAGTAGTTAAACAGAAAAAATTAGAGGATGAAGTAAGGCTGACGATAATTGGAATAGAGAGGGAAGCAGGAAAGTTCAAGAGCTTTCCTGCCTTCTAGCTTCCCATCAGCTCCATCAATGTTTTGGCTTCCTCTTCACTGTGACCATCACTCACTAGCACCACTCACTAACCACTGTCCCAAAGGACCCAAAATGAAAGTCCCCACATGCCTCACTTCTCTGAGGCTCTTTTCAGTCCCTATCTAAATCTCTCTCCTCTTACACACATAAGATAAGCCACATTCTGGCTTGTCTTATCATGTCTCCCCACCCCGCTCCCAGCCCCAGCATGTAACAACAGGCCTTGCTCTGCAGACCATGCACTTCCCACCCCCAATCCCAGCCCTGCCTTGGGCATGTTACCAGGAGAGACACCTGCAGGAACAAGTCTAGTCCTCAGATCCTGGGGAGGGGAAGAAGGGGAAGGAACGAAGACACTCACTGGCATTACTGTCAGCCAAGCTGTTGAGGCTACTAGAAATATCCCTTCGCCGGAAGAGACAGACAACCTTTGCTTCCACATTGCCATTGGCAGTCTAGAGGAAGAGAAACAAGGCAATGAAAATTAGCCATTTGAAAGTGGAGGTACGCTAGCAACAGGCACCCTCTCTCTAAGGACCTAAATAGAAGAGGTCAAAAACTCAGCAATGACTTAATATTCAAAGATAATTCCAGGGCCAATGAGACCGGTTCCCATGTGTGTTTAAGGTTAACCTGGTCTACATAGCAAGTTCCAGGAACCCCAGGCTGCATAATAGACACTGTATTTAAAAAAAAAAAAAAAAAAAAAAATTACCAAGTGACACAGAATCCCTTTACCCCCAGGTGTGAGAGTGTGAGAATGATGAAGCTTCCGCTAAGCTCTCAGCAGCCTTCCTCTATACATCTAATGAACATGCACCAGGACTGGCTCTAAGCCTAGGTAAGGCTCTCCCTTCCACTTGTAGTTAAAAACTCCAGAAGAAGAAACTGCCCCACTTCTGCCCCACTCACCTTGTTTAGCTCCTCAATCCGTCTAACCAGGTAAGGATTGCTAGAGGAGTTCTCAAAATAGACGTAATCTGGAGAAGGGGGTGGGGAGAAATGAGATCAGAGAAGAAAACCAGAGCACCCAGAAGAGAAAATGGATTTGTGTGGACCAAAAAGTGACAAAATGCTAGGTAGAGATGATATGGAGATGTGCAAAAGGAAAGTCTTAAGAAATAAGTATTAGACAAGGGCAGTTGCAGTGCACGCCTTTACCAGCACTTGGGAGGGAGGCAAGCAGATAGACCTCTGTGAGTTCAAGACTAGCCTAGTTTACAAGAGCTAGTTCCAGGACAGCCTCCAAAGCTACACAGAGAAACCCTGTCTCGATAAACCAAAAGAGGGGGGGGGAGGGAGGGAGAAAGAAAGATATTAACTGGGCAGTGATGGCCAACAGCAGAGGCAGGTAGGCCTCTTCGAGTTTGCGGACAGCCTGATCTGGTCTACAGAGCAAGTTCCAGGACACTCAAGGATAGACAGAGAAATCCTGTCTCGAGAAAACAAAGGAAAATAAGTATAAACCGAAAATTAAAAAAAAAAGAAGAAGAAGAAAGAAAGAAAAGAATCAGTCAGGCAGTGGTTGCTCACGCCTTTAATCCCAGCAGAGAGAGGCAGAGGCAGGTGAATCTGAGTTCGATGCCAACCTGGTCTATTTCCTGAGTTCCAAGACAGCCGGGGCTAGAGACCTCTCAGAAAACAAACAAAAGCTAATTTTTACTCCCTGCCCTTGCAACTCTTAGCTCTAAAGTCAGATCCTCACTCAAAAGTTAGACGGTCCGGGCGTGGTTGCGCACCCCTTTGATCCCAGCACTTAGCAGGCAGAAGCAGGCCAATCTGTAAGTTCGACGCCAGCCTAGTCTACACAGTGAGTTACAGGACTGCCAGAGCTACAGAGAAACCCTGTTTCGAAAAACGAGAAAGGGAGGCAGGGAGGAAGAGAGAAGGGAGGGAAGGTCGAAAAACCAAAAAGTGAGGGGAGGGGAAAGATGAGAACAAGGATTTCCCTGGAGTCCACACAACTCTGCATTGAAGTTGCACCCGTGTAGGACAATTAAGTAAACTGTCCACTCCACTTCAGGCCTCACCTTCGTGAACGAAAAAGCCGCCAAAGAAAAGAAAACCCCTGAGCCGCAGGCTCCCCCGCAGCTGGCCCCGCAGTCACCCAGGCCCCTTCCAAGCCAAGCCTACTTCCCGCCCCGGGATCCAGTCGCAGGCTCACAGCAACGTTCCGGTTGTAGGCAAGCCACTGCGGGAGACTCGGCTCCCGATAGCGTCGCCGCCGCGGAACCATAGGTCTCGGTTCCGGTTCCGGTCGGCGCTGTGGCCCGTACGACCCCAGATGTGGCTCCCCCGCGTCTGCGAACACCGAGTCTCCCTGGTCCCGGCCCCAACCTCTTCCGCCCGGTGTACTCACCTCCCACCCGGTACATGTTAGCCGCCATGGCCGTTCCCGCCGCCGCCTCCGGCCGCACAAAGAGGTCCGGGAGGCTCGCGGGGGTAAAGCTTAGCTCCAGACGATGCCCCCAGCGTGGGGCTGACGCTTCGCGGAAGTGTCGATGGGGCCCGCGCAGCCGGCACCACTGCTCGCTCAGCCGTCGCGGTTCATCACTGCTCGCACGACGACGACGGTGCTATAGCCTCACACCCGGGACACCGAGGCCGGCGCCGGTCTGCTCGGCTTCTTCCGGAACGAGCTCGGTTCCTGCCTGACCGGAGTCAGATTCCGGTTCCTAGCGTCTTCACAGAGTCGCAGCAGACGTCGTGTGGTGCCAGCCGCTGGGAAGGTTTGCCCTGCCCGCGTCCGGGTTCGCCTCCTTCCGGAACACCTTCGGTCGATACGGAGAACAAGGCCCAGCGCTCGGCTCAGGTCGGAGAGCAAGACCCCGCAGATCGGCCACTTCCGGAAGGAACTCGGCTCCTTTCGCTCAGCCGCGGCCCCGCGCTCGGTTATTTCCGTTGCAGCTCGACCCCGCCCCTGAGGGCGGCGGAGAGCCGGATTTAACTCTTTACACTGAAGGTCTCTGTAGCTCCGACAGTGGCCTCGAAAGGCGCGCGCGCACCCTCGCGCTTCTTGAGATTATTTGCAAGCTGCTTTGCCTGTTATTTGCATATTTGGTCTGAGCTCCCTTTTTCCCCTTCCCGCCCTGCACTTTTTTTTTTTCATCCCAACCCCATTGGGCCCCTGAGGCACCCGCCGCACTCCACAAAAGCAGCAAGCGGTGACTGACTTTCTTTTTATTGCCCCTCACCAGGCAAAGGGAGTCGGAGCTGGGGTTGCCTGGCTCAGCCAGCTAGTCGTTATCGTGTGTGCAATGGGGCGCTTCGCCCCTCCAGGAAAATACGCAATTGGGAATGTACTGAAATCAAAGAAAAGGCCAGCCCAGGAAAAGGGCTGTCCTTGGTCCTAGGGGTTTTGGCCAGAGCGGGACAAAGCCACAGTGCCAGAGGGACAAAACCATCCAGCATTGATCACACGTCCAGGGAGGAGGCGGGTGACAGAGAGGGAGTTCTAGAAGGAGTGACAGGAGAGGGCCCAGAGCCCCCAGCGCCCAACACTCGCCACTGAAAGATGCTGGCATCCTTGCCACCTAGGGAGACGAGGTATGAGTCGTCATGCGTGAACCGGACGCTAGTCACGTGACTGCCGTGGCCTGAGTACATACGACTTGGCGCCTGGACCAGAAAAAAATGTACAGTTGCAGCAGTGACAGGGTCCCATGCCTACCCTCCTGGGCCCAATAATCCTCTAAGGCCTCACCTTAGCTCGAGCGCACGGATACTGAAAAAGGTGTACTTTGCAGAAGTCATCCGCTACAGCCACCACACGTTCATTGTGGGAGCGGCAAAGGGAGTTGATGTCTGTCCCATCAGAGCCATCGGGCCACACACCTAACACAACAGGTAGCCTCAGCCAGGCCACTTTCCACAACCTAGAGCTGCAGTGTTCAGGGTTTCCAGGCTGCCTCCAGACAATCCTTCCCATTCCCAAAAGGACCTCTTGACCTGGATTTGCCCCTCTGATACCCACCCTGTGACACATGACACACACCCAGCATTCTGATCCCTAAATGGGATCCACCTTGTTTTCCCAGCCCTACTAAAGGGCTCTGCGAGCTGGCTTCACTGCTTACCATAGACGTGGAAGCCCAGCACACAGGTGTAGGTAGCCCACTCCCGGTCTCTGCTCTCATAGCGATTCCTTAGAAGTTTGCAGCCTCCAGCCACGTCCCCTAGGTAGAAATTGCCCCAACAAGCTCAGCTGGGAAGGTGACCTGATCCATTATGAACCTTGCTATATGCTTCCTGAGTTCTCATTGAAGTTTAATTTCATTTGACTTTAAGATAGTCTAAACCCAGGCAGGCATGGTGTTGCACACCTTTAATTCCAGCACTCTGGAGACAGAGGCTCTGTGAGTTTAAGGCCATCCTGGTCTACAAAGCTAGTTCTAGGATAGCCAAGGGCCAAGGCTACACAAAGAAACCCTGTCACAAAAAAAAAAAAAAAAAAAAAAAAAAGAAAAGAAAGGAAAAAAAGAGAGAGAAAGATATAAACCCACCCAGCATGGTGATGTGTGCCTTTAACCCCAGCACTCAGGAGACAAATACATCTCTGAGTTTGAGGACACCCTGGTCTACAAAGAAAGCTCCAGGATAACCAGGACAATATTGAGGAAACCCTGCCTTAAAGAGAAATAGAGCCTAGCCTAATCATGCCTGGAACTTCCCCTCCTGCCTCAACCTCTGGATAAAGTTCTAACAGTTTTTCCTTCCTAAATAAGTTAGCCCCTACACACTTGCCAGAGAAACTATACTAAGATGACCTTTTCTTACTGCATCATCCCTTTCCCTTTGTTTTGGTGAGAGTTGGGGGGGGGGTTGATTTTTGGTTTTTTGAGTTAGGGTTTCTCTTTGTAGCTGTCCTGGAACTTACACTGTAGACCAGGCTGGCCTCAAACTTAGAGATCTGCCTGCTAAATGGGATTAAAGGTGTATGTCCCCACTGCTGGGCTTTTTGTTTTGTTTTTTGAGACAGGGTCTTGCTAAATCGCCTTGGCTTACCTGGAACTCACTATGTAGGCCAGGCTGACCTTGAACTCATAGAGATCCATCTGCCTGCCTCTACCTCCCAAGTTCAGGGATTAAAGGAATGCAATGCCATACCTGGCCCATTTTTCAACTCCCTGGAGTTCTTGTGGAAAGAAGACATGGTATTATACCTAGTCACAGGATCTCGCCTATGTATGCAATTCCAACTCCACTCCACCTCCACATCAGCCCCTCTGCTTGATGAACCTGTAACACCATCATCCCTCCTGACTTAAAGCTTCCTATCAGCACCCACATCTATAATCACTTAGGAGACATAACTAGGAAGATAACAAAAGTAAAGGCAGCATGGGCCACATAGAGAATTCTAGGGCCAGCCTGGTATAAAACAAAACACAAACAAACCAAAAACAAAAAATATCAATTATCCCAATCACCCTGCCACTCACAGTAAAGAATCTCATAGTCCCCAGAATTGGACATGATGAAATTCCCATCCTTGGACCAGTCAAGGTGAGTGATAAAACTGGAGTGTCCCTGGGGAACAAGAGTCAAGAATTGGACAAGACAGCTACCATTTCCCAACCCCAACCATCCCTTAATGCATCAGTCCCCTGTGTCTGTGTACAATTAACAAACCCCATCTTCTACCCTAGCATCCTTACCATACATCTGCCATAGCGGCTGGACTTAGTTCCACAACTGGAAACGCTATAGATGTAGATCATGTTGTCATGGGAACCAATAGCCAGGTACAACCCATCTACAAAGAGAGTTATTCAGACACAGAAGAGCCAGAACTGGATCTAAGTCCAGGGTGGGGGTGGCTCCCACCTGGGCTGTACCGGACAACTGAGAGCTGTTCGTTGCCATCAGTGACATCAGACACAATCTCTCTGGTCTCTGTGTCTAAAACCAACCACCTGAAAGGGGAGAAGGGAGAGAAGTGAGAGCCCACTCCCGGGAGGCCCTGGGCAGGGAGATGGAGAACCTCAGAAAGGCTGTGATGTCTGGGGAGAGGCCACCATTGCACTCTGAGGCTGGGGAGTGGGAAGAGGCTAAGGGCAAACTGAAGCTAAGGGAGGGTTTCTGATGCCTTCTGGAAAAGAAGTCAGGAACCACAGACGAGACCTACCACAAAAACTTTGTGGAATCAGTAAGCCTGCCACTTCCTTGCTTGCCCACCCACCCCCACCCCTCCCAGCCCACACTTCCCCATCCTGGTCTGACACCCCTTCTGCTCCAGACTGAGAAGAGAGCTGAGGAAGGCTTGGTGACAGCAGGACCGAAGGGAGATCTAGGCTACAGAGAAGCACCCAAACACAAAAAGGTGTGGTCCAACATTTAAGTTAGCCTTGGTCACCTCTTGTCCCTTCCCAGAACCCCCTGCTTTTCTACAGAGGAGACCTGGGGTTCTCTCACCTCCCTGTGTTCAGTCCTACAACCACAACCGCCCCACTTGGATGGAAGTCAGCACACAGACCCGTCTCCTGGGAAAAGAGAAGGTAAATTCAGGAAAATACCTTTCTAAGGGGCCCATGAGACAAAGGGAGAGGCTTCAAGGGACAGGGATGGAGAGCATAGAGTAGAACACACATAAAAGTCTAAGGGGAAATATTAGAGACAGGAGGATGCAGAGGATGGGCTGGGAGTTGGGAGAGAAAAGGGACTGGGTCACACTAAGTATATAAATGCTAACTAAAAATAAAGCTTAATAAAAGAAGATGGCTTTTTAGTAAGGGAAGTTAGATGGACACCTTCTCATCTTAGTAACTTCCCAAGGCAACCAGAAAAGAGGGGCCATGAGGACCTGGGGTACACAGTTCTCTCGGACTCTAGCACAGGAAAGACATGGAAACCACTCAGCTGTGCTACAGATGAGCTACTTAGCTGGTGAACCAAGATGAGGCCTGAGGCAACAGCAATGCCCAGGTAGCACAAGGCATCACTTTTACCAGTCTGTACAGAATTCCTATTTGAGCAGCCCATAAGCATAATACTACTGGTCGTTCCAGAAGGGCAATGTTACAGAGAAAGAACAGGTGTCTCATAGTGGACCAAAGACAGCTGACTCTACCTTTAAGTCCATGCTCCAGGCCAGTGCATGGCCTTCCCCATCCCACAGGCAGAGCTGCCGGTCATGGCCACAGGTGAGGAAGCGGTTCTGGGAGGGATGTGTACACAGTCCCCACAGCTCATCAGTGTGGCCCTGCACCAGAACACAGTTTGTCACCACTGCTCTTCACAACTCCCTTCCCTACTTCTCCCCATGGCTTTTGGCTCCCCAACCTGAATAACTGGAGAGAAGCCCTGAGCCAGATCTCCCCTCAGTAATGCATTCTTCGTGGTTCCCACCAGAAGCTCAGAACCAAGCCCTTCAGCAATGGCCCTCACAGCTCCAAAGTGTTCTGGAATCTACAGAACAGTAACAGAATGTCAAAAGCCCACTGACCACTCCCTCCCCCTCCCTTCCTCAATCCCAGTCCATCTCTCACCTCAGCCTCCTGGAGGGCCACCAACCCAGGCCCCCACTGTACCAGCCGTCGGTCCCGCCCACCACCACTAAGCACTGTCCCATCCCGTCGGAGACACAGGGCAAAGATGGACCCTTCATGAGCATGGGCCTGGGCCACGATTGTGTAGGTCTCTGTTGGTAAAGCCCCGGGTAAGTGATGCTCTTAGAGTTTAGGGAAACAGGGAAAGGGGCAGCTTAGACCATCACAACATAGGATAACTCCCAGCTACTGAAGACTCTAAGCTTAGTGACTGCCAATTCAGCTCCTAGTAATAGTGGCAAAACTGAACTTGGAATCTGAGATCTGACAAACCCAAGTCCCTGGCCTTCTCTCCTTTGCCATATGGCTCCCCACCCTTCTAGACTAACCGCCCAGAGAGTTCATCAGTTGTCATGATAAAAATGTTGGAAACTCTGCTCTGTTCCCACAGAATTTCTAAGATACAAACATCCTAGATGCTATCCCCAACCACATACCTTTGGTCCCACCCCTGCCTGGGGTCTTGGAATCAGAGACACTCCGCCCCCAAGTGAGAATGTTCCCCTCGGAGTCTCCAGTGAGAATGTCCCCATCAGGGAGGAACACAAAGCAGGGGATAAACTTGGGTTTCTTGTATTTCTGGAGGGGACAGAGATCAGAGGTCAAAGTGGAAGACAAAGACCAGATGTGACAGGACAGTTGGGGCGCTGGGGCATGTTAGAACAGTCTACAGTACTTAGTACCACCTCCCTCCCCACCACCTCACCCGTCCACACCTCACCCCAAAAACACCCTGTTTCCGGGTGAGGGTCCCATTCCCAGGAACCCCTACTCCACCACTCCAGTTCCAAAAGTGAACATGAGATTTTCCACTGGTGACAATACAGCTGCTGTCACGAGGGCTGAAGCCGACAGCCAGGACTGAGTCATTTGTACTCTGAAGAAAGGAAGACACTTGATTCAGCCACCCTAAGCCCTGAGTACCCTCACTGTCTTTGATGCTTTTGTTTGTTTGTTTGTTTTGTTTTGTTTTCTTTTTCTTAGTGTAGCCTTGGCTGTCTTGGAACTCACTTTGTAGACCAGGCTGGCCTCAAACTCAGAGACCTGCCTACTTCTGCCTCCCTAGTATTGGGATTAAAGATGTGTACCACCATGCCTGCCCTACATTTTTTTTGTTTGTTCTTTTCTTGTGACAGAGTCTCATGTACCTCTAGTTGTCCTGGAACTGCCAATGTTGACAGCTGAGGATGAACTTTGAATGGCTTTTTTTCCCCTTGATTTGCTGTTTGTTGAGACAACTTCTTACACTATAGGCCAGCTTGGCCTAGAACTCTCAGTGATCCTACTTCAGCTTTTCAAGTGCTGGGATTCCAGGCATGAACTACTACATCCAGCTCTTGACTTTTTATTTATATTGCAGAATTAAGATTGATTGATTGTGTATACTAAGTAAATACTCTACTGTTGGGCTCTATCCCAAGACTTCTTCCTCCTGTTGCCTTCAGTGTGGCTAACATCACAGACTTGTGCCAGCACCAAAGTCTACTGTTTAACTCAATCTCATCCTGACAGCACAGCTGGTCTACAAAAGCCCTAAGGCCACAGGTAATTCTTCCTTCGAGGCTCTTCTAGAAGGCTGGAGGTGTAGGGCATTGGTAGAATGCTTGCCTGGAATAATCAAGACTGGTTTGACCCTCAACACTGCAAAGAAAAAAATAAAAACTGATCCCCTAAAACCTATATTTCCCATTAGAACTTCTGTGGTTCCCAAATCATGGATTAAGAAACAAAAGCTTAGAGGACTGAGCATTTTGCCCTAGTCAGAAAGGAAGTATATGTGTAAACAAGTCTGGAACCGTCTGCATTGCACCATTCCCACCCTACCCCAGATTCGGAAACCATCAAGCCACCTAGGCTCCTCACCTTGATCTCAGCTAGCTTCACTCCCCGGCTGCAATCCCAAACGGACAGCATGTGCTCATTGGAATCATCCACCACACAAAGAAAAGCACCCTGGTCCTGAGAATGGGGACACAACACCATGAGCTTGAGAGGTCTGGGCATTCCCAACCTTAGACAGAGGTTCTATCACAGGCTGGGGGGGGGGGGGGCAAAAGAAGTCGACAGTTGTCTCTTTCTCAGGAGAACTGGCTGGAGTACTCTGATAAGCCCAGGATACCAGAACTTCCCCCAGGCTTCCTGGTAGAATGAAACTGTCCTAAGCAAGAAGAAGGATCTAACAAGACATGTAGCATATGCCTATAACACTTGGTGGGTAGAGGCTAGGGGCAGAAGGATCAAGAGTTCAAAGACACCCTCACCCCACATATTGAATTAGAAGCCAGCCTAAGGCACATGAGACCCTACCTCAAAATAAATAAATAAATAAATAAATATAAAAAAATAAACAAAACAACAACAACAAAAAAATAGGGGTCTAGAAGCTTTCTGCCCAGCTCACCACTGCTGAAAAAGCCAAGGCCCCCACACCACGTTCAAAGGCCCCCAGTCCAATCTCCTGCAGCTTTAGGAGTGTCTCTGAGTCCCAGATGTGAACCACAGGCTGTAAGGGCTAGTGGAAGAGAAGAGATCAGAGCTATGAAGAAAAACTTGTCTTTAAGTCCATCCTGGCTGCCTCATATTCTGACTTGGCCTTACCTTACCATCCTTGTCTACTCCAGCTGTCTGTCCTGAGGCTACACGAACACCATCAGGGTGAACAGCAAGGCTAAGTAGAGGGAGGAGAACTCTGGGAAAGGGGGTCTCTCCAGACCACTCAAGGCACTTTGTCCTTGCTTAAGAAGCAGCAAGGCAACTGTCTTTTCTGCCCTTCCACCCCCAGCCAGACCCTCTTCCTGTCAAGCCCACCAGCCCCAAACCCCAAGACCCTCACCATCGAACGCAGTCTGTGTGACCCCGGTAATGTCTCTGGCCGCCACCTCCAGGACCCCCTGGGCCGCCCCCGGGCCGGTACAGCACCACTACACAGGCAATAAAGTAGACCACCTCCCCAGAGCGCAGCACAAACAGATTAGAACGAGAGTCACGGCCCCTGTACCCATAACTGTGTTGGGGACCGTGGTCAAGGAAAGGGCCAGACCAAAGGCAGGAGGCAAGAGTGAAGCTTGGAAACAGCAAAGCTCCTACTTGGCATTACCATCCACGTCCCCACAGACACAGAAAGAAACTGTAAAGAAAGAATGGGGATCTATAGTGGGAAGGGGTGGTTCCCATGGAACTGAAGGGGACAGGATACACCCAGTCAAGGCTGAGGGTCTCCGGGGGTGGGCCGCTGGGCAGCTCCTCGAGACTTCGGATGCCAGATGGAATATACATGGTGATGGGGCGGCCACGAAGGAACATCTTCACTGAAATGCCTTCTACAGGGACAACCAGAGAAGTAAGCCTTCCTCCAGAAGTCCAAAGCAGCATACCCTCCATACCTGACGCAACCCCAAAGGCGCTCCTAGGGCTATAGCCCAAACCCTAATTCCATCATCCAACTTCCTCCCTCAGCCTCTCTGTACATACCCAAATTATAATTGCTCCTCCGAGATCCAGGACCCCCAGGGCTGGAGAGGGGGTCTTTGCTCCCACGGCTATTAGGAAGAGGTAAAAGTGTAAAGGCTAGAATCAAGTCCCAATACCTGAGATGGACAGGGCAAGACACTGACAGGGGGTTCATCCCACTCAGCCTGCTGGTGTGGGGCTCTAGAGAGATGGGGAGTTTTAGTTCCAAAGGAAGAAAGGAAGAAAGGAGGAGTGGAGAAGGAAAGAGATGGGGGAGAAAAGGGAAGAAGAAAGAAGATAATGTAAAGACGAGAGAACAAGACCATGAAACATATAGCCTGTGCCCTTTGTCCTAGGTCTCTACCGACCTTTTTATTCCCATATTTGTAAACTGGGGTCAAAGTGAAACCAGAGTGTACACCAGTCCTGTCTTTCAGGAACCTAGGAGGTAGGCAAAAATATCCCAAAGGAAAGTGATGAGTGAATTCCAGAGTCTCTGTCCCTGGATGATAAGCTGACAATATCTCTTCAAAGAATGAAAGAGATGCCAAGAAAGGATACGGCTAGTGTGGACCTTCAGGTCCACTAAGACAACACTTCCTGGCTCTGGGATGTTCCCTTGTGGTACAGAAGTGTCAGAGCAGGACTTTGCAGGGAGAGAGGGATCAGCTGATGCTCTGAGAACAGCCATCTGTGAAAACTCACCAGAGCAACCAGGTCTCTCTTCCCAGCACTCCAGAGGCCAAGAAAGGAGGACTACCTAATGCCTTTTAAGCCAGGCTGGGCAACACAGGCTGGGTAGACACAGTTCACAGTGTGAGAACCTGTTTCAACTAAATAAATAAAATGTCGGGGAAGCTTTGAGGGCCTTGAATTTTGAAAGGGATTTTGTGATAAGAAAAGTTAGCAGAACTAGAGTCAGGAAAAACTGGCTTCAGAGCTTGACTGTGTGACCTCAGGCAACTGATTGCCCTCTCTGGGCCTGCTTCACCTGGCCAATAGAGAGCACAAGAGACAACCTACTCACCAAAGATGCTACAGGGCCTAAATGACACAGAGGAAAGTTTAGCACAACGCCCAGAACACTGCAGGAGTCCTAAGGAATGCTTTGTTTCTTTCTTCCTGTTGGCTCATGAGGTCACTCACCCCACCCAGGAATGGAGAAAGTCAAGAAACTGAGCATGGGGTACAGCACACTGCAGCAGGAAGAGAAGGCTCACCCACCTCTCTGTGCTCCCTGACCGCAACAGCAGGTTGGCTGAGGAAGCTGCCTTCCTAGAGAGTTTCTGCCTCGGCCGCTCTGAGGGGGATGAAGAGGAGGAGGAATTTCTTCGTGGCCTGGTGGGGCGGAATGAAAAAGTGAAATCAAGCCCAACAGTCCTGCTTCCCAGACTTGCCACCCCTTCTGCTTCCATCACAGGACACCTACGTGTCAGAGCGCTGAAGGAGCTGCACAGGCCTAAGGACCCCTGGGGGGCCAGGGGAGCCCCCGCTGCTGCTGCTGCATCCTCCCTCAGACTGGGTTCCACTGGGCTCTTCACTACCCCCCAGAAGAGCTGGAGGCCCATTGCTCAGGCCAGGTGGTCCAGAGGATGACTCCATCTCCAATTTTTCCTCCGTCTGGGTGCCTCGGCTCACCAAGGAAGGGCTGCATGGAGGCGGCAGTCCTGGGGGTGCTGTGACGCTGCTAGGGAGACAGCAAATCAAGTTTTGCCTCAAAGTTCCCAGGAAGGAAAAATGAGTGTGCTGACATGCATACCTGTCCCTTGCTGGTAAGCCAGAGCTCTGCAGGGAGCTGGAGGGGCCATGCAGCCGCAGCAGGCGAAGCGCTTCTGCCAGGGCTGCCTTTACCAGCTCCATCTCTTCTTCCTGCACCCGAAGCCTCTGGCTCAAGGTCTGCAGTGTCTCATGAACAGGGCCCTCACCTGAAGAAGGAGCAAGGGCACTCAGAAAAGTGGAAGAATAAGGGGGTTCTGGCCTCCTGTCCAACTTTACAATCCAATTGTCCAACGGGACGACCTCTTGCAAGCAACAGAAAGCTTGGAGGCTTATCCGGAGGCGAAAGATGCATGGTTGAAGATCAAGGGCCTCCTCCTAGCAGGGCATGCAGTAAGCCTGGCAAAACTCCCTTCCTGCTGCTACCCCAGCCTCCGCAAAGACAGAGAGTACCACAGAGTCGGGGTGGTATGGAATACTGCCGAGGTACGTGGGAGGCAGACAGGGAGAGAGCTGCAAGCGCAAAACTGATAAGGAACTACAGCCCTCTATCCCACCAGCAAACAGGCGCAAGTCTCTACCAAATGCAAAAGCAGTCAAGCTAGAAAGTGGACAGGGCAGTAAAGTCAAACTGAGGGGCCAGGTTGCAAGGAACAAGATCTGGTGACGGTACAAAGTATCAGCCGAGAGCAGTTACAGTATACATCCCAATGTACCTATGGGAGTAAGAAATAAGAAAAGCCCGAATTCATCGGGAAGAGGCCCAAAGTGACACTGGTCAGGGAAACTTAAAAGAGAACCAAGGAGTAGAATGACTTTAAGTAAGTTCGAAGTGACAGTAGGAGATTCTTAGGAACTTGAGTCGGACAACCTGAAGAACTGAGGAGGATGCTCAGAGCCCCTGGTTTGCGAGAGCACGCGGGCACGCCACTAGACAGCCGTCCAGCACTGGCAGCGCCCGTCGGGCTGGCGCTCCCGGAATCCGGGCCACGCCGCCCGCCCCGCCCCATACTCACCGGGCCCTGCAGCCCCGTCCATCCGGCCCCCGCGTTCCTCCGAGCGGCGGCGGCGGAGGCGTCTAAGCCGCGGGGGCCATGGCTGGGGAGAGGGGAAGGAAGCACCCCCGGTGAGCGCGCCGAGGATGCAGTGCCACCCCCGGGGGGCGCTATCGGGCGCGGAGACAGGGTTGGAGGGGGCGCTGTGGAACCTGGGCCTGCTACTCTCCCGGGGTAAACTCCCCGGGGTGCGGTGACAGGGC